TAGGGCCCCCGGGACGCTGACTGTGGGGAGAGTGAAATTCTTCCACCCCCACCGCGGGGAGGTGAGGCCGGTGGGCTCTGCCCAGACTCGAGGCTCCCGGTTTCTGCAGCGGAAGTCCAGCTCCAGAATGGGCTCTAGGTTCTAAGCTCTGGTGCCAGACACCTCAAACTCCTGTCTGACTCCGCTGTTCTTTGGACTGACTTTAAAGTGAACTCCTGGTTCTGGGCTCCAGCTCTAGAATGGACTCTTGGCTCAGAATCTGGCTCTAGAGAAGGCTCCAGGCGCTGGCGTCAGTGAGACTCTGAGCTTCAGGCTCAGATTTTATCTGCAGGGCTCCGAGAGAGCTCCAGGCTCTTGGCTCTGACTGCAGAGTGGTTCTTGGGGTCTGGGATCCGGCTGCAGAGTGAGGCCTGAAGCCAGGGCTCCAACCCCAGGCTCCTGGGGGCGTTTTCAGGGATGGCCCAGGAGACTGGGGTCAAGAATGAACACGCAAGTGTTTCTTGCCCCACGGTGGGATTCCTTTTGTGTTTCGTTCCAGGTCAACTTCTCCGCCTTCTCCCCGGATGGCCAGACCCTGCTCACAGCCTCTGAGGACGGTTGTGTGTATGGCTGGAAAACCCAGAGCGGGAATCTGCTGTGGAGGTTGGGTGGCCACACAGGTGGGGCTCAGCCTGGATGGGGAGGCTGAGGGCCCTGTTCTGGCATCTTGCAGAGGCTACCACAATGACCTCGGTGTCTGTGCTGGGCATCCATGCAAGACAGCTTAGGCAGGGCTGGGGCAGGAGCAAGGACATAGGACCTGGTCCCTGGGGCCTCTGACTCTGACAGACCTGGACCCAGATCCTACTTTAAAAAAACTGTTTAAAAATATACATATTTACTGTCTTAACCATTTTTAAGTGTAGTGTTACGTCCCTTCATATGATTGTGCAACTAGTCTTCAGAACTCATCTTGCAAAACTGAACTCTATGCCCATTGAACATCTCCCCCCGCCCCATCAACCACCATTCTGCTGTCTCCAAGAACTACTCTAAGTGCCCTGTACAAGTGGAATCATACAGGATCTCTCTTTGTGACTGGCTTACTTCTCTCAGCATAAGGTCCTTAAGGTTCATCTGTTTTACCCACTATTTTGACTGATTATGTAGTCACCTCTCTAGAACTCTATTCCCTCTTTAGAATGGGTAATAATAGTTGCTACCCTATAGGATGAACGAATACAAGCCAAGTGCCTAGCACCCAGTAAGTACTCAGTAGATATAATTTGTAATCAAGGAGACAAGGAAAAGGCTCTGGTTAATTACGGGGCAGATTGATTAATGCTGTAATAGGAAAATCCAGGGGCTGGGCAGCCGAGAGGAGGCAATGAACCTACGCTGGGCTGTAAAGGAGCTTCCGGGAGGTGCCTGCATTGGACTGGGTATTGATTTTGCAAATGGACGAATTGGGGCTGGGTGTTTCAGGAAGTCCCAGGTGGATGTTGGAGGCTGGAAGGGGATCAGGACAAGGGAGGTAGGCAATGAGACTGGAGAAATTAGCAGGTGTCAGAGTGGAAGGGTCAGAGGTGGGGGTAGTGCCATTCTCTGACCATGGCCACCTGCCCCAGGCCCTGTGAAGTTCTGCCGCTTCTCCCCTGATGGCCGCCTCTTTGCCAGCACCTCCTGTGACTGTACCATCCGCCTGTGGGATGTAGCAGAAACTAAGTGTCTGCAGATCTTAAAGGGTGAGTGGGCTGGATGGGGCTGGGAGCCAAGCAGGCAGGCCTGGGTTCCCTTCTGGACCTTGCTGTGTCCTGTGCCACCTTGTAGGCCACCAGCGGAGTGTGGAAACAGTCAGCTTCAGTCCTGACTCCAAGCAGCTGGCATCGGGTGGCTGGGACAAGCGGGTGATGCTCTGGGAGGTGCAGGTATGGGGAGGCAGCCAGAGAGCCTGGGATCTGGATGAGACACACCCTCCACACTGGCTCTGGGTTATTCCCAGTATTTCCCACTCCCCAAGCCCAAACCTGGCACCCAAGACCCCCTTTCACCTGGCTACAGTTACTTTCTCTCCACCCCCAGCCCCCATGCCCATGAGGTTCCCCCTGCCTGGACTTCCCTCTCCTCTCAAGGCCAGGGAGTCTCCCAGATCCTGGGGTATGCCACATTACCCAAAAGGAGGGCCTGGGTCTGACCCACCTGAGGCCTAGAACCTGGCACTATGAGACCTCTGGGCTGCCCTCCGAAGCTCAGGGCTCTCACCCTCAGTCTGGCCAGATGCTGCGCCACTTAGTAGGACACCAAGACTCCATCCAGAGCAGTGACTTCGCACCCAGTTCAGACTGTCTGGTGAGCCACACCCTCTGCCTAGGCCCCGCACTGCAATGGAACCTGGTGCCAACACTCACTTTCCCACTTGGGGCTGAGCAGACCATGACTGGGTGACTTGGCTCTTCTGAGCCTGTCCGGTCTGTAAGATGAGGATTCGGTGGGCTTGGTGAAATGGTGCCTACTTTGGAGTCTGACCGGCCTAGGAACTAGGAAAGTGGGCATGGGCTGGCTGGTCCATGCTCATGGCAGTTGTCTGCAGGCCACTGGTTCCTGGGACTCCACCATTCGTATCTGGGACCTTCGGGCAGGGACTCCAGCGATCTTCCACCAGGAGCTGGAGGGTCACAGAGGCAACATCAGCTGCCTGTGCCACTCAGCATCCGGCCTGCTGGTGAGCTGGGAAGCCCTGGGTTCTAGGCTGGGCCCTTGCTGGCTGCAAGACCCTTGGAAGGTCATGGGCCTTTGAGGGTACACTGAGCATGCAGGCCCCAAACAGAGCTATCTGCTGTGCAGGCATCTGGCTCCTGGGACAAGACCATCCACATCTGGAAGCCCTCGACCAGAAGCCTGCTTGTCCAGCTCAAGGGCCATGCCACCTGGGTGAAGAGCATAGCTTTCTCCCCAGATGGGTTGCAGCTGGCCAGCGCTGGCTACTCCCAAATGGTAACCCCACCCCAAAAGGCTCTCCTCCTACCCCCACATCCTGCCTACTAGTCCCCAGCACTGTCCAGAAAGGATCACATCCCAATTTACCCTAATAGGAAGGTGCCAAGGGCAGGACCCAGGTATCAGCTACTTCTATACCTAGTGCCTGGCACTAAGGTCTGTGCTAGCCCAAATGTAACATTTGTATGACTCAAAGCTTCAGGGGAAATTGTATTGCACTGAAATTTTGCACCAGATATTATACCAGGCATGTCAAATATACCTCACAAACAAAACCCAGACCAAGAGGTTGAGATGTTGGCTAGGACTGACCCCCAAGGTGATTTTTAAAAATGGGTGTTGTGAGGCCTCCCTGCCTTTCTGCTTTTTATTTCCAGGTCAAAGTCTGGGACTGCAACACAGGAAAGTGCATTGAAACCCTGAAGGTAAGGCCTGTGGCTGTAGCACCCAAGGGCACAGTGGAAGGTGTACTAGAAAGCTGGGGATAGGCAGGACTTGCATCCTTAGAGCCCAACAATATGTTTTTGGCAGGGAGCCCTGGATGTGGCCCACGCCTGCACCTTCACCCCAGATGGGAAACTCTTAGTTTCTGGAGCTGCTGATTAGGCAAGACACCAAGTCCCCTGCATGATAAACTACCCAGAGCCTCTTTAATATAACATCACCACATGGCTCCCAGACCTCATGCCCCTACCTCCCTGCCCAGGGTGCACAGGGCCTGGCAGAAAAGGGCAGCCAGGGCAATTCCATGCCACAGGTACAAAGTAACCGTAACAGAGCACCCAACAGATCCTTGAGACCAGTACCGTCACAGCTCCACAGCAGGTTTAAGCAATAGCTACAGGCAGGCNCCAAAGTAACCATAACAGAGCACCCAACAGATCCTTGAGACCAGTACCGTCACGGCTCCACAGCAGGTTTAAGCAATAGCTACAGGCAGGCCAGCCCAAATCCACCAGACCCCTGGGCCACACCAGCCCAGTCAGCTGAAACAACTGCAAACACAAAGCAATGTCGGCCAGTTTGTGCTTTATTGACGCCGTGATGCTCAGGCCNCCTCTCCAGCACGGTCAGCTGAAACAACTGCAAACACAAAGCAATGTCGGCCAGTTTGTGCTTTATTGACGCCGTGATGCTCAGGCCTTGACCGCGAACTTCCGCAGTGGGTATAGCCGCTCCTTCCGCTGCTGCTTCTTGGTCTTCAGGTTCTCTTCATGCTTGTTGAGCCTGCGGCGCATGGCCCGTGTCTTCTTGGGTCGCAGATCTAGGGGTTTGTACTTCTTGCCCTGGGTGATGGAGAGTGAGGAGAATCTGAGGACCAGGGCTTAGGAGGTACTGCAGTAGCTAAGGAGGCCCCAGAGGTTGGAGCTAAGGGTGCTGGGAAGTGTCTGAGGAAGGTGCATGGCTGGGCAGGTTCATTTGTAAGACATGAGTGTGAGGAGCTGTATGACATCCAGCCCAGTAGAGAACTGTTAACATGGGATTAGAGACTGATCATACACCTGGCTTAATAGTTCATATAATTCCCCCATATACAAGGTTGTAGAAATTATCCCCACTAAAAAAAATAAGTTGAGGTAGGGCCAAAAAGCGAGTGAACTTGTCCAAATCTCAAGAAAGCTGTGGCGAAACTGGGATTTGCACCTCAATCAACCAACTCCCTACTGAGCACTCTTTCCACCAGCCTAATTCCCTGCCATGGAGTCAACATCACAGCCAACCCAGTAAAAGGCATGTGACACCCAGCAAGTACTGGGGGTGGTCACTGTTATCTTGGCTTAAATTATGCAAGGTGGTGCATGTAGGGGCGGTGGGTTGCGGCTTAAGCAGTGCTCCATAAACCTGGAATGTCTGCCACCTGTGGATGTTCCCTGTAACAGTGCTCCCATATAACAAGAGCTCCAGAGGGAAGCTCTCGCTTGGCCAAGGTAATCCTGCTGAGAGGCAAAGCCCCCTTTCCTGCCTTGGCGGCCCCCCACCACTCCTGCTCCCNCCCCCTTTCCTGCCTTGGCAGCCCCCCACCACTCCTGCTCCCAGACCTTTAACAAGGCCTCCATCTCTCCATCCCTGGCTCTCACTTATTCTTGCCCCACTTGTTCCCAGTGTGCAGGTCTAGATTAAGGCAGCTCTCTCAGTCTCGCCTCTGTTCTGCAAAGGTTCCCTGAGCCCTTTTTGGCTTGCAGCCCCGTGCTGGGTGCTGGCTTGGTAATGAAGCAGACCTGGTCCCTGCTCAAGGAGCTCCCAGCCCTGTGAGGAAGACTAAACAGAGTGTGGCNTTGGCTTGCAGCCCCGTGCTGGGTGCTGGCTTGGTAACGAAGCAGACCTGGTCCCTGCTCAAGGAGCTCCCAGCCCTGTGAGGAAGACTAAACAGAATGTGGCCCAACAGTGGGGGAGGAGGTTTCACCTCACAACTGGCAATGGCCCTGAAAGCAATGTAGATGCCAAGTGAAAGGGGGAGAAAACTGTGCACAAAACCCCTTAATAAAGATAGCTGAGGCCCTTTCTGGGAACCACCAACAGCTTGGAGGAGTAAGCACAGGGCAGAGAACTGCAGAAAAAAGCCAAACAAGAGATAAGGACAAGCTCCCAAGGGACCTTGGAGTATTAAACTCTTTGTCCACTCACATCTCTCACATCAGTGGGCAGTCAGAACATCATCCATTTCAAATTTACTAAGCCCCTTAGAGTTCTGCTGCCCCAGAGTAGTCACTAGCCCATACCATTCACACTGTCAGTCCTCAGACGCCATAGTCATATTAAGTGATCAAAGGCATACATGGCCAGAGGTGACTGATGGACAGAGCAGAAACAGAACACATCTGTCACCACAGAAGGTCTACTGGACNGCCAGAGGTGACTGACGGACAGAGCAGAAACAGAACACATCTGTCACCACAGAAGGTCTACTGGACAGCGCTGACTTCACCTCTACCTCCCTGAGTAGTGCCTNCAGTGATGACTTCACCTCTACCTCCCTGAGTAGTGCCTGGCATGGGTGCACTCACTGGATGGTTATGAAGACAGGGGACCACCTCTGCTTGGTCCCCTCAGAGCCTGATGAAAGCTTCAGACCCAATCCTCAGAAAACATTCCCACACACAAATGTGCTTACATCCAAGGGTGGCAGCACCATCCAGGGGTGGCAGCACCTCACCCCCACCTCCACAGCTAGTGTCCCCTGGGCAGCTAGCCCAGGTACACACCGTGACGACTCTTTTGAGATATCAAACCCTCCAGTTACCCAAACACTAATTTGGGAGTTGATGTGAAGCCATTTTGTGGATGTAATTAAAACCACTAATCAACCAGTTGATTTAAATTGAGAGGATATTCTGGGTAATCTAGGTGGGCCCAATAAAATCAGTTGAAAGTCCTTAAAGGCAGGGCTGAGGCTTTCCCCAAGAAATCCCCACCTGTCATGAGTGCCAGCCTGCCCATGATCTATGGACAGCCAGTTTGGACTTGCCATTAGCCTGCCCCACAACCACGTAAGCCAATTCCTTGTAATAAATTAACTGTACATACACACAGTATCCTACTGGTTTGGCTTCACTGCTTGAACCCTGGTAAGACTAATTTAAGGACAGGACTAGAAAACAGTTGTAAAAATCCTAGGCTGAGGGATCAGACACCTGTGGAAATCTCCCAGGAGCACTCCATCCACTCCTCCCTAAGACATGGTTTCAAACCTTGGCCCAACTGCTCCATTATTTGTACAGGACCCTGAGCAACTTAACCTCTGTAAGCCTTGAGGTTCTAATCCAAAACACAAGAACGTGAGGTGCTCAGCAGTGACTGACACAGGGTGCTAGTAAGACAAAACATTTAACAGACAATCCTCACAGACTGTCCAAACTCACTCAGCTGCTGAGGCTGCACCCCAAACCCAAGTGTCCAGCCAGACTCCTACCACACTGTTGATTTTCTGACAATTGCAGCCATGAGGAAATGCAATCTGCATACCATATACTAGTGCAAGATGCTGGAAAGGTTAACTCATCTACAAGCTGGGAAGGCTCTGGGAAGTCCAACTATGCCTAGGCAAAGCCCTGTCCCATACACATCAGCTGACAAACCTCTTCATTATTGACCTCCCTCGGCAAGGGAGAGTTGGAACTTTGCTTCCTAGAGCCAGGCAGCCCCACACATAACCCCACTCACCTTGTAGAATTTCCTGAGGTTTTCTTTCTGAGTCTGGTTAATGACGGTAAGAACACGGGCGATAGATTTGCGAACAACTCGGCTACAAGAACAAGGACATCAGTGAAGGCAGTGAACACACAGTGCTCCCCAAAGCATCTCATTCAGGCCTTGACCCAGCTCTCATAGGGCAAGGGCATTCCCTACCAGCTCATCCATATTCACCCAAGAGGCGCCTAACCCAGCCCAGGAGGAAGGTATTCTGAAGGTAAGGCCGGAGATTATAGTACATGGGACACCCAGGAACGGGAACAGGGAAGGGCTGGAGTGCACTTTTGAGGACCTGTGAAGTGTCCACTGAGATGGCTTAATTAGGAGTGATGGAGGGCTGATCAGGAAAGGTCTTCCATCCTAGGCCATATATCCTAAAGGCTATGAAGCTGACCTAACAAATGCCCATCTTAATGAGCTGACTGGAAAGAATCATGCCACAAGCTGGGCAACCAGGAAAGCTTAAGGAGTAGCAGCAGGGGCCACTTGGGAGAGAGGGGAGCCTGAAGCTAGGAACTAGCTGGGGACAGGTGAATCTGTAGTCATGTTGAGTAAGAGGCATGTTGGGGGAATGAGGGAAACTGGTAAACCTGGTCTTAAAGATTCAGCATGAAACTTGCTTATGTGTTCCCAAACTCATCCAATCCCCTCCCACCAGATTATGAAGGTTGTTGAGGGTGCATTTTATGGAAGAAAAAAAACCTGGACGGTAAGCCAACCTGCCCATCAGGTAGGATTTGGCAGAAGTGGAACTTGTGCCCAGGTTGATCGACTCCAAGCCCATGTTCTTTTCACAATTCTTGATCCAAGTAAATCACGAAGTTACACTACAACTCAAGGTGCAAAGCACCCACCTACCAAGTGAGGAAAAAGTACCAAATGCTGGTGGGAGGTGAAAGAAAATGTCCAGTTGGGTTTTTGAAGGAAGCATTAAAATGTCCCCGAAGAGGGACACCCTGTTCTTTCACCAGCCAGAGAAGCTGAACAAGGGCACTCCTCCGGGAAAAAGAACCACACGATCAAAGGCAGGTAAAGGGAGCGGGTCTCCTACGAGGACGGCCGCGAGCAGGTGAACCTGGTTAGGAGGGAGTGACATTCCGACCCACAGATCCATTGAATGGGCACTTAAGCGGACACCTCCCTAAGCCAACTTCAAAAATCCACAACTGCCCCTGACGCGCACATATTCCTCCCGCCGCCCAGAGGACCGTGGTCCGGCCGCCCATCACTTACATCTTAGAAAGCTTGGAAGCTGCGCCGCCTGTCACTTTGGCTACGCGTAGCTGGGACAGCTCCACTTTCAGGTCGTCCAGCTGTTTGAGCAGCTCCTCCTTCTTCTTGCCGCGAAGGTCTCTAGCCTTAATTTTGGCCTGTGTGCAAGAAAGAATCTGGGTCAAATGCCCGGTGGCTCCGTC